GATGCGTGCCTTGGGTCCAAAAAGATTAAGAACTATTGTGTTAAAGTACATTTGGCTGTTCCTGCCTCCAAATCCCTTTTTTACATATATACAGAAATGGTATTTATTTTGCTTCAGTTTTGACCCTGAGTGAGGAGCAGCCAAATTGGATATTTGTCAGTTTGTTCACAACACTAAACTCTGAATGAATTCTCTTAAATAGTCCATTTGATATCCTGAAATAGCATAAAATCATTGTCCCCAGCTTTACCTAGTCAGAAGTCTCATTTGGATGCTTTGTGACATTTTACATAAAAGCAATAGATGGGCAGAATGGAAATTACAGTTCTGAAACAGAGGATCTATACCTAGTACATTGTTTTTCCAATAACCTGTATCTTTTATAAATCCCATATAATTGGAACTTGCCTCAAGAATATCTGGATTAATTGTATTTTAAGCAAAGAGATGGTGCACTTTTCAAATGTGTTGGGTTGCAAACTTGCAGACTGGATGTCCTAGTCACTAGTGAAGATAAGAGGGCTAAGATGAAGATTTTTGTGCTGTTGGAAACACAACTAGCTTTCTCAGGAGACTGCTTTGAGGAAGATTGCAGCAATATTGCATCCCCATGGCTACTTGTGGGTATTGCTGTGCACATATATAATTTGTGCTAGATAAAAATCAGGAGGTAATAAAGAAGGAAAAAAGAAGAGCTGAGAGATCTGCTATATACCACATTTTATATCTTAGGGAGCAAAAATGTCCAGGGAATGCTGCATTAACTCAGGAAAAATGACTGCTGCTTTAAATCAGAAAACTTACATATACTAAGTCCTTTGGTTTGGGAACCATTTGGGTGTGTTATGAAGTAAAGTTGCAGAGTAGGCATGTTTACTAGACCTTTAATTGCTACATTTAGTAGAAAGGCTTTTTTTTTTCCCTCCCCCCCCACCCTCCGCCTTTTTAACGACAAGAAGCCAGAGTTTGCTGTGCAAATGAAACAGGCTTCGCAAGAATCAGATTCACTTTGGACGACTCTTCACATTCCTAGTCATCATTACATTAGGCAGCACAATTCCATCTCTGGTTGATGGGCAGAAAAAGTGGGCAGCCTGCCAGGTAGACGTTTCCATGGCTCCCAACCCCCAAAGGTGATGCGTTTTTCAGCTAATTCAATGAGGAGTGGGCTGAACTTTGGGTATAAACTAGACAATAGCTGCCTTCGCAGTA